TGGCATGTGCCTGTAATCCCAGCTACTCAAGAAGCTGAGGCAGGAGAATTGCCTGAACCCAGGAGGCAGCGGTTGCAGTGAGCCGAGATCGCACCATTGCACTCCAGCCTGGGTAACGAGTGAAACTCCGTCTAAAAAAAAAAAAAAAAAAAAAAAAGAATAAATAAATGAATAAAGATTTTAAATTAAAAAATTTTTTAAACCCACAAGTACTAATTACATATGCAGGTGTGCACTTGCTTCAGTTATCCATGTGACATATTCATGTATCTCTTTTCATGCTTTTTCCTGTCTCCTCTCTAAGGACAGCCCAAAACCTACACCAGTTTCTCACTGGAATTTCCAGCTCCACATCACCACCTGCCTCCTGGGTGTTTCTGAATATTCCCCTTTCATCTTCAGTAATTTTGTATTTGTCTTAGAGCCTCAGATGTGGCCATCCTTGGTACAACATGGCATATCTTTTTTTTTTGTTTGAGACAGAGTTTTGCTCTTGTTGCCCAGGCTGGAGTGCAGTGGCACAATCTTGGCTCACCATAATCTCTGCCTCCTGGATTCAAGCAATTATCCTGCCTCAGCCTCCCAAGTAGCTGAGATTACAGGCATGTACACCATGCCCACCTAATTTTCTATTTTTAGTAGAGATGGGGTTTCACCATGTTGGTCAGGCTGATCTCAAGCTCCCGACCTCAGGTGATCCACCTGCCTTGGCTCCCAAAGTGCTGGGATTACAGGCATGAGCCACCGTGCCCGGCCAGCATGGCATATTATTTCTGTCTCACCTATAACCTACAGGAACAAGCAGACCTGAGCTCAGATTTCAGCTCAGCCACTTCTACCACAGACTTGCCTTTCTGATCCTCCTGTAAAATGAAAATGATCATATTTATCCTGGAGACTGTAATAAGGTGTGAACATGGGAGTCCTTTCTGTCTCTATATCAACTGAAGCTCAAAAGCACTCAACAAAACAAGTTCTCCAGTTCCCAAGTGGGGTGCCAGGCGCCCCCTGCAGGAACTGCAGAGCAGGGTGCTTTCCCTCACCCCAGTCCAGGGAAAGGTGCTTTTAGAGGAACACTGGCAGAGAAACACAGGCTTGAGCCACCATGCCACACCAGTGACTCTTTTAACTGTACAACTTTCCTGCTTTACAGTTAGATAAGGCCAGGGACACATGAAGTTAGACAATGAAAAGAGTCAGACCTTATCTGCACTTCTGTCTGCTGTGGTAGGCTCCCCACCTACATAATTAAAATTCTGAATTTACCAAGGTTTTCACCAAAAGTAAAAGTTGGCTAAGAGTTAACAGTGTGCCGGGCACAGTGGCTCATGCCTGTAATCTCTTTGCCCAGGCTGTAGAGCAATGGCACGATCTCGGCTCACTACAACCTCCACCTCCTTGGTTCAAGCAATTCTCCTGCCTCAGTCTTCCAGGTAGCTGGGACTACAGGTTCACGATACCACACCCAAATAATTTTTTGTATTTTTAGTAGAGATGGGGTTTTACCATGCTGGCCAGGCTGGTCTCGAACTCCTGACCTCATGATCCACCTCCCTCTGCCTCCCAAAGTACTGGGATTACAGGCTTGAGCCACCATGCCTGGCCTGACAGATATTCTTAAATGCAAGTTTTTGATAGTTTAGCAAATTGAAACATTAGAATAGAGGAAAAAACTTTCAGGACTCATGGAGGGCTGAAATATTTATGAATATCAATCAGAAGTTAACTGCATGAACTAAGCTGAAGAAATCGAAAGTAATTTTTTTAACTTTGCTTAAAATGTTGCTGATCCTTTGTTTTGTTCTTTCAGAGTCAAGGAAACTTTTCAGCTAATTACAGCTTTTAACAATTCACTCCTGTGAACACAGTTTGGAGCATATTTGTTTCTCTCTACCTGATTTCTCCATAATTTGAAACTATTTGTATTCATAACTTATATATAGTTATCTGCATAAGTGCAATAAGAATCTGTTTTCTGGCTGGTGCAGTGGCTCACACCTATAATCCCAGCACTTTGGGAGGCCGAGGCAGGCAGATCACAAGGTCAGTGGTACAAGACCAGCCTAACCAACATGGTAAAACTCTGTCTCTACTAAAAATACAAAACCTAGCCAGGTGTGGTGGTGCATGCCTGTAGTCCCAGCTACCAGGGAGGCTGAGGCAGGAGAATTGCTTGAACCCAAGAAGCAGAGTTTGCAGTGAGCCGAGATTGTGCCATTGCACTCCAGCCTAGGCAACAGAGTGAGACTCCATCTCAAAAAAAAAAAAAAAAGAAAAGAAAAAGATTTGACTTGTAGACCCAATAAAAGCCCCTGAGGAACTGGCCTCAAACCTTATCTCCAAAGGACACTGCACAAGGTTTCTGACCTGTGGTAAGTAATGAATGTCACTTTCTTATATGTCCAGGAGCCCCAAGTTATCTAGGGACCTCAAGAGGAGAGGAATTTATTCAACTCATAGGTATTTCGGGTTACAAACCCATTGCAGGGCTCAGCTTTAAAAAAAAGGTCTTATCTGGGATTCCTTCTATGGAACAGAGTTCCATAATAGCCAATTTAAAAACAGCTTATGTGGAAAATAATTATTCTTGTTGCACTTTTCACTAATAATCAGGCCAAGTATAATAAATTGGTCTTATCATTATTTGTCTTTAGTAAAAATGAGGAAATGGAGAGAGAAAAACTATGTTTTTTTCTTTTTGAGATGGAGTTTATTTTTTTTTTCTTCTCTAATTTTTTTTTTTTTTTTTTTTTTTTTTTTTTTTTGAGACGGACTTTCACTCTTGTTACCCAAGCTGGAGTACATGACGTGATCTTGGCTAACCTCCACCTCCACCTCCCAAGTTCAAGTGATTCTCCTGCCCCAGCCTCCCAAGTAGCTGAGATTACAGGCACACACCACCATGCCTAGCTAGTTTTTGTATTTTTAATAGACACGGCATTTCTCCATGTTGGTCAGGCTGTTCCCAAACTCCAGACCTTAGGTGATCCACCCACCTCAGCTTCCAAGAGTGCTGGGATTACAGGTGTGAGCCACCTTACCTGGCCTGAAAAATTATGTTTCAAGAACTATCGTACACTTATTAAATTCTAGTCTTGCCCATTGTTTTTAAGTTTGTTTCTGCAATTTAGACTAACCCTACTTGTTCGTGTGAATCAAGCAGTAATCTCTGACTGCAGCACAGAGTGCTCCTGTAATACCAGCACTTTGGGAAGCCAAGGTGGGCGGATCATTAAAGATCAGGAGTTCAAGACCAGCCTGGCCAACATGGTGAAACCCTGTCTCTACAAGAGGAATGGGTAATGTAAAAATCTGGATCAATATTCTAATCCTGGGCATGTATTGGAATCATCTAGCAACCCCATATCAGCTTGGTTCCAGTAGTTGCCCAGTTCATGGAAAGCCTTCTAATTTAGTTAACTTAGAATAATTGTACTAATTTTGCTTTACTCTTGTGGAATATATTTGCTTTTGTACTGCTTGTGTAGGAATGCAGGATAAGCTTATTGAATGTTTTCTTTTCTTTTCTTTTCTTTTTGAGACAGAGTTTCACTCTTGTTGCCCAAGCTGGAGTGCAATGGTGCCATATTGGCTCACTGCAACCTCCGTCTCCCGGGTTCAAGAGATTCTCCTGCCTCAGCCTCCCAAGTAGCTGGGATTACAGGCATGCACCACCATGCCCGGCTAATTTTTTGTATTTTTAGTAGAAACAGGCTTTCACCATGTTGGCCAGGCTGGTCTCAAACTCCTGATCTCAGGTGATCTACCCACCTCGGCCTCCCAAAGTGCTGGGATTACAGACCTGAGCTACCACACTTGGCCAAGGGTTCTCTTATAAAAGGGAGTGGGGAAATGTCAGAGGCGTTTAAACCAGAGCAATTCCATCTTGAATAGGAGGTAAAATAAGACTGAGAACTACTGGGTTGTATGACCAGACAGTTAGGCATTTTAATTCACAGGATGAGATAGAAGTTTGACACAAAATTCAAGTCATGAAGACCTTGCCAATAAAACAGGCCAGGCACAGTGGCTTGCTCCTGTAATCTCAGCACTTTGGGAAGCTGAGGTGGGTGGATCACTTGAGAGCAGGAGTTCAAGACCAGCCTGGCCAACATGGTGAAACCCCATCGCTATTAAAAGTACAAAAATTAGCTGGGCATGGTGGTGTGTGCCTGTAATTTTAGCTACTCAGGAGGCTGAGGCAGGAGAATCACTTGAACCCAGAAGGTAGAGGTTGTAGTGAGCTGAGATCATGCTACTGGACTGCAGCCTCGATGCCACAGCGAGACTCTGTCTTTAAAAAAAAAGAAAAGAAAGAAAAAACAAGTTGTAGTAAAGAAGCTAGATAAAACCCACCAAAACCAAGATAATCTGAGAGTGACCTCCAGTCATCCTCACCACTGCACTCCCACCTGCAGCATGACAGTTTACAAATGCCATGACAATGTTATATATTTTTAGTAGGGACAAGGTTTCTCCATGTCGGCCAGGCTGGTCTTGAACTCCTGATCTCAAGTGATTCCACCCCGTTGGGCCTCCCAAAGTGCTGGCATTGCAGGCGTGAGCCACCAAGCCCAGCCTTACCCTGAATTCTTTCTTGCATGAGATCCAAGAACCCTCTCTTGGGATCTGGATGCAGACCTCGTTCCTGTAACACACCCATTCTGTGGCTTACACCGTTCAGGCCTCAGGGAAATGCTTCTCCACATCTCGTCCTATGTCCTCAAAACAGAGGTACCTGGCTACAAACACCAGGTCACTTGGTAGGTTGTGCCACTGCCAAAGTTGAACATAGACATTGCTATGTTGTGGGAAGGATAGGAATGATGTAAAAACAATTTAGATCAGAGAAAAACAGAATTCTTTAACTTGGCAATCTTTCCTCTCTGACACTGGGAAGTCAGTACGTTCTTACAAAACGGGTTCTAATCTTCCAGTGGGCTGAAGTCCATTTTCTTCCTCCTCTTCATGTTCTGATTTGTGGTTCTGTTGGTTTTCAGGACTTAGAGTGGTATCCAGTACAACTGCTTGTGGCTGCCGAGGAACATTGTGCAGTTTGCTAACATGTGAGCCACCATGCCCAGCCAGTATTTGACCTTCCTTCCTCTGTTCTTCCTTCCCTTCCCTTTCTTTCTTTCTTTCTTTCTTTCTTTCTTTCTTTCTTTCTTTCTTTCTTTCTTTCTTTCTTCCTTCCTTCCTTCCTTCCTTCCTTCCTTCCTTCCTTTCTTCCTTCCTTCCTTCCCTCTCTCTTTCTTTCTTTCTTTCAAAACAGGACCCCACTTGTCACCCAGGATGAGTACAGTGGCACAATCATGGCTCACTGCAGCCTCAAACTCAGTTGAGTGAATTACTATGCAGGGCCAGTATTTAATGACGAAAAACTAAATTTAGGCCGGGTGCAGTGGCTCATGCCTATAATCCCAGCACACTGGGAGGCCGAGGCAGATGGATCACTAGAGGTTAGGAGTTTAAGACCAGCCTGGGCAATATAGCGAAACCCCATCTCTACTAAAAATACTAAAAATTAGTGGGGCACTGTGGCTGCTGCCTATAATCCCAGCTACTCCAGAGGCTGAGGCAGGAGATTTGAACCTGGGAGGTAGAGGTTACGGTGAGCCAAGATCATGCCACTCCACTCCAGCCTGGGTGACAGAGCGAAACTCCGTCTAAAAAACCAAAAAACATACCCACAAAAACTAAATTTGAAATATCAGCTTTATAGAATGTAAATGTCAATATTCATTAATAATGTACTCTTTTTAATTTTAGTAGAAATTTAGAATATTTTAGAAGGAAAAAATTTTTTGAAATATCTTTTTAATATTAAATCAACTTAATTTTTCATAGCCAAATGTGATGGCTCGCTCCTGTAATCCCAGCAATTTGGGAGGCTGAGTGGGGAGGACTGCCTGAACCCAGGAGTTTGAGACCAGCCTGGGTAACATAGTGAGACCCTGTCACTACAAAAAATTAAAAAATTAACTGGGGGGCCGGGCATGGTGGCTCAGGGCTGTAATCACAGGACTCCAAAGGAGGCCAAGGGAGGCAGATCAATTGAGCTCAGGAGTTCGAGACCAACCTGGCCAACAAGGTGAAACCCTGTTTCTACTAAAAATACAAAAATTAGCCAGGTGTTGTGGTGCACACCTGTAGTCCCAGCTACTCAGGAGGCTGAGGCACAAGAATTGCTTGAACCTGGGAGCTGGAAGTTACAGTCAGCCAAGATCACGCCACTTCACTCCAGCCTGGGCAACAGAGCAAGACTCTGTCTCAAAAAAGAATTGACTGGGCATAGTCTTGGCACTTATAGTCCCAGCTACTTGGGAGTCTGAGATGGGAGAATCGCTTGAGCCTGGGAGTTCAAGGCTGCAGTGAGCTGTGGTTATGCTACTGCACTTCAGCCTGGGTGACAGAGTTAGACCCTGTCTCGAAAACCTAAATAAATCAAAATAAATTTAATTTTTCTATTGTTTACTTTAATAAGTATTTTAAATAAAAACCTATTCAGCCTGAGCCCAGAAAGTGGCGGTTGAGTTGAGATTGTGCCACTACACTTCAGCCTGGGCAACAAAGCAAGATACTGTTTCAAAAAAAAAAAAGAAAGAAAAGAAAAAAGAAAAAGACAACCTACCCAACTAATATTTGAATCCAATTATATGTTCTTTGCTCTTTTAGGTCATTGCCAAAAATATTGACTATAACAACAGAATGATTCTGCAGAAGTGAAAGTAGGAAAAATAAATTTATAAAAACAGTCTGGGCACGGTGGCTCACACCTGTAATCCCAGCCTTTGGGAAGCTAAGGTAGTGGATAACCTAGGTCAGGAGTTTGAGACCAACCTGGCTAACATAGTGAAACCTTGTCTCTACTAAAAATATAAAAGATTAGCCAGGCATGGTGGTGGGTGTCTCTAATTGCTACTTGGGAGGCTGAGGTAGGAGAATTGCTTGAACCCAGGAGGCAGAGGTTACAGTGAGCTGAGATGGCACCATCGCATTCTAGCCTGAGCAACAAGAGTGACACTCTCTCTCAAAAACAAAAAGCTGGGTGTGTTAGGCTCAGACCTGTAATCCCCAGCACTTTGGGAAGCCAAGGTGGGCGGATCACCTGAGGCTGGAAGTTCAAGACCAGCCTGACCAACATGGTAGGACCCCCGTCTCTACTAAAAATATAAAATTAGTAGCCAGACATGGTGGTGCATGCCTGTAGTCCCAGCTACTTGGGAGGCTGAGGCGGGAGAATCACTTGAACCCAAGAGAAGGAGATTGCGGTGAGTTGAGATCACACCATTGCACTCTAACCTGGGCAACAAGAGTGAATCTCCACCTCAAAAAAAAAAAAATTACAAAGATTACAAAACATATATGAAATATATATGTCTTTTTGAGAGAACGATCCAAGATGGCCGATCGCTAACATCCCGGGATTGCAGCTCTCAGGGAAGGCGCGGAGAACTAGAGGATGCCACACTTTCAAAGTCTGGTCGCTCACGGAGCAGAAGATCCCCCAGTGGTGGAAACACACGAGTCGCCAGCGCGACTCTCATGGTCGGCGCAGCGGTTCCGCCGGCACCTCCGCGCCGCAGCGCTCGGCGCAGAGTAAACAAGACCGGTTCCCCTTCTGACCGAGGTTTGGAGCCCCGGGAAGGCAGAGTCGCCTACTATGGAAACAAGAAGGAAGCCCGACAGGAGAATCCTGGGCAGAAAAGCACCATCAGTTTTAACGCCGCTGCTCTGGCCCTGGGAACTAACAACCTGGACGTCCACTCAAGAGACCTAATCTGAAAGTTGGTAATTTCAAAGACGACAGGAGGATAAATTTACAATGATGGGAAGAAACCAGCGTAAAAAAGCTGAGAATACTCAAAGTCAGAACGCCTCTCCCTCTAAAGATGATCACAGTTCCACATCAACAATGGAACAAGGCTTGATGGAGAACGAGCGCCTCCTGATGACAGAATCACTCTTCAAGGAATGGATAATAACAAACTTCGGTGAGTTAAAAGAACATGTTGTAGCCCAACGTAAAGAAACTAGGAACTTTGAAAAAAGGTTTGATGAAATCCTATTGAGAATAGACAACTTAGAGAGAAGTATGAGTGAATTAATGGAACTGAAGAATACAATACAGGAACTCCGAGAAGTATGCACAGGTTTAAACACTCGAATTGTTCAAGCAGAAGAAGGGATATCAGAGGTCGAAGTCCAACTTAATGAAATAAAACGAGAAGACAAGATTAGAGAAAAAAGGATAAAAAGGAATGAGCAAAGTCTCCAAGAAATGTGGGACTATGTGAAAAGACCAAATTTACGTTTGATAGGTGTACCTGAATGCGACGGAGAGAATGAATCCAAGCTGGAAAATACCCTTCAGGATATTATTCAGGAAAATTTTCCTAAACTAGCAAAGCAGGTCAACATTCAACCCCAGGTAATACAGAGAACACCACAGAGATATTCCTCAAGAAGAGCAACCCCAAGGCACATAATCGTTAGATTCACCAGGGTTGAAACGAAGGAGAGGATACTAAGGGCAGCCAGAGAGAAAGGTCATGTTACCCACAAAGGCAAGCCTATCAGACTTACAGCAGATCTCTCGGCAGAAACTCTACAGGCCAGAAGAGAGTGGGGGCCAATATTCAACATCCTCAAAGAACAGAACCTTCAGCCCAGAATTTCATATCCAGCCAAACTAAGCTTCACAACTGAAGGAAAAATAAAATCTTTTATAAACAAGCAAGAACTCAGAGATTTTATTACCACCAGGCCTGCTTTACAAGAGCTTCTGAAAGAAGCATTACACACAGAAAGAAACAACCAGTATTAGCCTTTCTAAAAATACACCAAAAAGTAAAGAGCACCAACATAAAGAAGAATTTACACCAACGAATGGATAAAACAGCCAGTCAACATCAAATGGCAGTAACCCTAAATTTAAATTGACTAAATTCCCAATCAAAAGACACAGCCAAAACCCAACGGCATGTTACATCCAGACCTGTTTCACATGCAAGGATACACAAAGACTCAAAACAAAGGGATGGAGAAAGATTTACCAACCAAATGGAGAGCAAAAATAAATAATAAATAAATAAAAAGCAGGAGTAGCAATTCTCGTAGCGGATAAAATAGATTTTAAAGCAACAAAGATATAGTGGTAAAAGGATCAATGCAACAACAAGAGCTAATGATCCTAACACCCAGATAGGAGACTTAGATTCAATGAGACAGAAAATTAATAAGGATATCAAGGACTCGAACTCAGATCCAGAACAAGTAAACTTAATAAATATTTATAGAGCTCCCCACTTCAAATACACAAAATATACATTCTTGTCAATACCACATCACACCTACCCATTAGTTTAAATGAAACATTGATTGGCCATTATTAATACCCAATTTTTTTCAAAATAAAGCAATATTTCCATTTACTCTCCCTCTTTCTCTCCTCTTTCTTCCTCTCCTTTACTTATTTTTTTTTTTTCTTTCCTTCTCTCAAAAAAAAAAGAAATCAACTTGTAAACCGCTAGATCCAGGTCGGCAATGTCTCTTTCATTGCTTGATTTCCTTTCTTCCCTTCCCTCCCTCCCTCCCTCCCTCCCCGCTTCCTCCCTTCCTTCCTTCCTTCATCCCTTCCTTCCTCCCTACCGTCCTTCTCCCTTCCTTCCTTCCTTCCTCCCCCCACCAAAAAAAAAAAATATATATATATGTCTTTTTGTTTCACCCAGCCATCTGTAGCCCATTAACGGAATGCTCAGACATGGGCAATAATAATTAGATTCCATAATCTCAGATAGTTCAGTAAGTTTTTGTTAGTAAAAGGCATCATTGTATTTATTTGTTTGTTTGTTTATTTTGAGACAGTCTTTCTCTGTTGCCCAGGCTGGAATGCAGTGGCACCATCTCAGCTCAGGGCAACCTCCACACCCCAGGTTTAAGCGATTCTACTGCTTTAGCTTCCCAAGTAGCTGAGATTACAGGTGCACACCACTACACTCAGCTAATTTTTGTATTTTAGTAGAAATGGGGTTTTGCCATTTTGGCCAGGGTGGTCTCAAACTCCTGACCTCAAGTGATCTGCCCACCTCAGCCTCCCAATGTGGTGGGATTATAGGTGTGAGCCACCACACCTGGCAAAAGTCATAATTTTAAACACATTTTAGGCCTGGTGCAGTGTCTCACATCTATAATCCCAACACTTTAGGAGGCCAAAAAGGGAGAATCACTTGAGACCAGGAGGTTAAGACCAGTCTGGACAACATAGCAAACCCTGTCTCTACAAAAAAATTTAAAATTGGTTGGGCGTGGTGGAGTATGTCTGTAATCCCAGCTACTCAGGAGGCTGAGGCAGGAGAATCAGTTGAGCCCAGGAGTTAGAGGCTACAGTAAGCTATGATCATGTACCCCAACCTGAGTGACAGAGCCAGACCCTGCCTCTTGAAAAAAAAAGTTAACACATTCTATTTTGTTATCATAAAGTGGCTTTTTAAAATTTTTTTGGGCTCTCTGTTCCCGCCGCTCAAGATGCCGAAAGGAAAGAAGGCCAAGGGGAAGAAGGTGGCTCCGGCCCCTGCTGTCGTGAAGAAGCAGGAGGCTAAGAAAGTGGTGAATCCCCTGTTTGAGAAAAGGCTTAAGAATTTTGGCATTGGACAGGACACCCAGCCCAAAAGAGACCTCACCCGCTTTGTGAAATGGCCCTGCTATATCAGGTTGCAGCGACAGAGAGCCATCCTCTATAAGGGGCTGAAAGTGCCTCCTGCAATTAACCAGTTCACCCAGGCCCTGGACCGCCAAACAGCTACTCAGCTGCTTAAGCTGCCCACAAGTAGAGACCAGAGACAAAGCAAGAGAAGAAGCAGAGGCTGTTGGCCCGGGCCGAGAAGAAAGCGGCTGGCAAAGGGGACATGCCCTCTAAGAGACCACCTGTCCTTTGAGCAGGAGTTAACACCGTCACCACCTTGGTGGAGAACAAGAAAGCTCAGCTGGTGGTGATTGCACACGATGTGGATCCCATTGAGCTGGCTGTCTTCTTGCCTGCCCTGTGTCATAAAATGGGAGTCCCTTATTGCATTATCAAGGGGAAGGCAAGACTGGGACGTCTAGTCCACAGGAAGACCTGCACCACTGTCGCCTTCACACAGGTTAACTCAGAAGACAAAGGTGCTTTGGCTAAGCTGGTGGAAGCTATCCGCACCAATTACAATGACAGATATGATGAGATCCGCCGTCACTGGAGAGGCAATGTTCTGGGTCCCAAGTCTGTGGCTCGCATCGCCAAGCTCGAAAAGGCAAAGGCTAAAGAACTTGCCACGAAACTGTGTTACATGTGCACTGTTGAGTTTTCTGTACATAAAAATAATTAAAACAATACAAATTTTCCTTCCAAAAAAAATTTTTTTTTGTTTGGTTTAGTTTGGCAGGGGTTGGTTTAGTTTGTTGTTTTTTTTTTTTTTTTAATTTTGAGACAGTGTCACTCTGTCACTCAGGCTGAAGTACAGGGTTCCACTGCACTCTGCTGACTCCAACTTCCATCTCCTGGGTTTAAGTGATTCATGTGCCTCAGCCACTCAAGTATCTGGGATTACAGCTGAATTTTGTATTTTTTTGTAGGGACAGGGTTTCCACCTTGGCTATGCTGGTCTCGAACTCCTGACCTCTTGAACTCGTGCTGGGATTACAGGCATGAGCTACCCCTCTTGGCCCATTACAAAGTTATATTTATCAATTTAGGAAGAGAAATTATATTTTAACAGCTGTTAACTTGATTTATAGCATTTACATACTTGGAATATGCCTCCATTTTTATGCTTGCCCTAAATGTTGCTGACCTAGAATGAATTAGGTGCCTGTGATTAATCCATCAGAATTAAAAGCATATTATCTGTCTGGCACATTTACTCACAACTGAAATCTCTGCAATCATTCAGAAATGAGAGATGCCCTTTTCAAAAAGAAGGCCAGGCATGGTGGCTCATGCCCATAATCCCAGCACTTTGAGAAGTCAAGGCAGAAGGATCACTTGAGGCTGTGCATGTCTATGAAAATTTTAAACATCAGCTGGGCATGGTGCTGTGCACCTGTAGTCTCAGCTACTCAGGAGGCTGAGGCGAGAGGATTGCTGGAGCCCAGGATTTCAAGGTTACAGTGAGCTATGATCATACCACCGTATTCCAACCTGGAGACAGAGTGAGACCCTGTCTCTAATAAATAATAATAATAAATATAAGTTAAAAAGAAACTGTTGCTTAAAATTGTTCACTTATAATGCTGTCATGGAGAGTAATATATAACCAGAAACATCCCTTTGTAAAGTTATATGCAGAAAGGACGTATATCTCAAAGGAAGGAGAAAACAGCAGGGGAAAGAAAGTAGGTAAATTGAAGTAGACATCTCCACCGTTATTAAAAGGACCAGATCAATGCAGGTGTCAGACTTAATGGCTGGGGAAATGAGAAGAGAAATTGGCCACTCTCAGAGACTTAGAAATACACTGTGGATGAGCAGGTAAAAGTAGCAACTTGTTAAGAGAAAAGAAGAGCAAAAGTACAAGGAAGAGGCAGGGGCCTGCATCTGCCATGTGCCAGGCCCAGTGCTAAGCATATAACATGCCTTAATGATACATTCAGCTACACAACACACCAGAGGTTTAATAGGATTTAGTATATGAAAGCTGTATGAAGGAGGCTACTTTTTTTTATTATTTTACTTTAGGTGCATACTATATCTGGCATTTCTCCCCATGTTATTCCTTCCTTCCCTCCCCACCACCCCCACCTGCTGTCTCTCCCCTATCCCCCACAACTGCCCCCAGTGTATAATGCTCTTCTGCCTGAGTCCATGTGTTCTCATTGTTCAACATCCACCTATGAGTGAGAACATACAGTGTTTGGCTTTCTGTTCTTGTGTCAGTTTGCTGAGAATGATGGTTTCCAGATTCATCCAAGTCCCTACAAAGGACATGAACTCACCATTTTTTATGGCTGCATAGTATTCCATGGTGTATATGTACCACATTTTCTTTGACCAGTCTCATTGATGGGCATTTGGGTTGGTTCCAGGTCTTTGCTATTGTACACAGGGCTTCAAGGTGGCTACTTTAAATAGTCCCTAGTACCTGTCAGGCAAAGTTCAAAATTGTTAAAAAAGGTAGCCAGGCATGATCATGATGGCTCACGCTATAATCCCAGCACTTTGGGAGGCTGAGGCAGGCAGATCACCTGAGGTCAGGAGTTCGAGACCAGCCTGACAAACATGGAGAAACCCTGTTTCTACAAAAAATACAAAATTAGGCTGGGCGCGGTGGCTTATGCCTGTAATCCCAGCACTTTGGGAGGCCGAGGCGGGCGGATCACCTGAGGTCAGAAGTTCGAGATCAGCCTGGCCAACATGGTGAAACCCTGTCTTAAAAAAAAAAAAAATACAAAATTAACCATGCATGGTGGCGCTTGCCTGAAATCCTAGCTACTCAGGAGGCTGATGCAGGAGAATGGCTTGGACCTAGGAGGTGGAGGTTACAGTGAACTGAGATTGCGCTACTGCACTCCAGCCTGGGCAACGAGAGCAAAACTCCACCTCAAAAAAAGGGCACATACTACCTGTTAACCACCCTAGGCTTACCTTCCCTCCCTTGGCATAGTACACTTCTCACTGCCTCCAGCACACCAGCCATTTCATGCCTTTGTGCCTTTGTACATGCTATTCACGTAGCTAGGTGTGCCTTAGTTCATTGGCGAACTCATGCATCCTTCAAACCCCAATTCAAATGTTATCCACTCTGTGAAGTCTTCTCAAAATCTGCCAAGCCTAGCAACTCTTTCTTCTTACTGCTCCTAGAAGTCCTTTCATAACATAAAGCATTTATCACTTGGCATTAAAATTGTTATTTCCTGTAACTATCTCCTCCTCTAGACAGTAGCTCCTAGTGGGCAGTGCAATAGCCCAGCAATACACTAGTGCCAGGAACACATAGGGATATAATGCTCACTAACCAAAGATAGTTCAATGGCCATTCATGGTGGTTCACATCTGTAATCCAAGCAACTTGGGAGGCTGAGGCAGGAGGATCGCTTGTGGTCAGGAGTTCTAGCTTTTCTGTTTGTTTATTTGTTTGTTTTTTGAGACGGAGTCTAGCTCTGTTGCCAGGCTGGAGTGCAGTTGCACAATCTCAGCTCACTGCAACCTCCACCTGCCAGTTCAAGCAATTCTCCTGCTTCAGCCTCCCGAGTAGCTGGGACTACAAGGGTGCACCATCACACCCAGCTTATTTTTGTATTTTAGTAGAGATAGGGTTTCAACATGTTGGCCAGGATAGTCCCAGTCTCTTGATCTCATGATCTGCCTGCTCAGCCTCCCAAAGTGCTGGACTTACAGGCATGAGCCACCATGCCCAGCCTGAGTTCTAACTTTGTAACTAGCCTGGGCAACATACCAAGATGCTGTCTTTAAAAATAATAATAATACAGAATAGTTGAATGGACCAGGCATGGTAGCTCATCGCTATAATCCCAGCACTCTGGGAGGCCAAAATGGGAGAATCACTTGAGGCCAGGAGTTTGAGACCAGCCTGGGTGACATGGGAAAACCCTGTGTCTACAAAAAATACAAAAATTAGCTGGGCACCATGGTGTGTGCCTGTGGTCGCAACTACTCGGAGGCTGAGACAGGAGGATCACTTGAGCCCAGGAGGCAGAGATTGCAATGAGTTGAGATCACACCACTGCACTCCAACCTGGGCAACAGAGTGAGACCCTGTCACACACACACACAAAGTTCAAGATATTTGGGTTGGAAAAAAAAAAAAAAAAGGCTGGGTATGGTGGCTCACACCTATAATCCCACCACTTTGGGAGGCCAAGGTGGGCAGATCACCTGAGGTTGGGAGTTTGAGACCAGCCTGACCAACATGGAGAAACCCTGTCTCTACTAAAAATAAAAAAAATTAGCCAGGTGTGGTGGCCCATGCCTATAATCTCAGCTACTCAGGGGGCTGAGGCAGGAGAATCACTTGAACCCGGGAGGCCGAGGTTGCAGTGAGCTGAGATTGCACCATTGCACTCCAGTCTGGGCAACAAGAGTGAAACTCCGTTCCCCCCCCCCAAAAAAAGTGAAAAAATAATAATACGACAACCAATGCATCCAACATCCCTCAGTGATGGAAATATTCTGTATCTGTACTTCATTATGTGGTAGCCTCTAGCCACATGCAGCTGCTGTGCACTTGAAATGTGGTCAGTGCAAATGAAGAACTGAGTTTTTTTTTTTTTTTTTTTTTTTGTTTTGAGATGGAATCTTGCTTTGTCACCCAGGCTGGAGTGCAGTGGTGCGATCTGGCTCACTACAACCTCTGCTTCCACGGTTCAAGCAATTCTCCTGCCTCAGTCTGAGTAGCTGGGATTATAGGTACCCAGCTAATTTTTGTATTTTTAGTAGAGACAAGGTTTCATCATATTGGCCAGGCTGGTCTCAAACCCCTGACCTCATGATTTGCCTGCCTCAGCCTCCCAAAGTGCTGGGATTACAGGTGTGAACCACCTCACCTGGCCAGAACTGAATTTTTACTTCAATTAATTTAAGATAACCACATGTGGCTAGTAGCTACCATTATTGGACAGCACAACTTTATATTATCATTGACCCACAACATAGGTAAATTCTACCTCATTATAATTTTTTTGTGCTAAAAACAAAAACTCAGCCACTTACAAGCTGAGCAATTTCAAGAACCTTCTTTAGCCTTTTTGCTTCTCATTTGATTCACCTGGAAACCCAGCAAGAGGTACTAGATGACAGGAGAAGACTGACAGCTGAAAGCCCAGAGAATTGACCTCATCCCACCAAGCCCTCTGAAGAGATAGCTGAAGGGAGTAACCTGAATCCCTTCCCCAAATAGGAGGACAAACAATGCTTATACATACACCCATGTGGATCCCAGGTGTTTCCTGCAGAGAGTAATACGTAATGAGTTTATTCCAATCCATGACCAAGAGCACCCTGCTGAAAACATCTACAAACTGATGAAGGCTTAACCCCTTCTGTTCTTCGGGTTGGAGAGATCTCAGGTCATTTATGTTTTCATACAACGTTCTGTGTCAGGGAGGCTGGGCATGGTGGCTCACACCTGTAATCCCAACACTTTGGGAGGCTGAAGCAGGTGAATCACCTGAGATCAGGAGTTGGAGACCAGCCTGGCCAACATGGTGAAACTCCATCTCTACTAAAATATACAAAAATTAGCTGGGTGTGGTGGCAGGTGCTTGTAATCCCAGCTACTCAGGAGGCTGAGGCAGGAGAATTGCCTGAACCCAGGAGTCTGAGGTTGCTGTGAGCCGAAATTGTGACACTGCACTCTGGCCTGGGTGACAGAGCAAGACTCCATCTCAAAA